TTAGTATTGGCTTTCAAATTCCTTAACAAACTATTTTTTTCTGAAAAATTTCTTTTTAATCGCATATTCTTATCAATGAGTTTTTTCTCGGTGTAAGTACTTGACTTGAGGAAGGCCCAGGTATAGGTGAAGCAGGTTGGGTCAGTTTTTCTCTTGGAAGGGTAGTATCTCTATTGACGTATGAAGAAACTGATCATATTTGTTTCAGTTTAATCTGCAAGAAATCATACCTATTATTTCCATTACATACATTCCAAAAAGACAGAGTCGGTACTGAATCTTTCAATAATACACGTCAACGGTTTCTTTGTATAAAACATTTTTCATCGAAATGTTTACTGCAAACTGTTGAGTTTTTGCTCGGAGTTTAACCCGGCCTATTTATAACGCGTAACCATTTGTCACGTAGTGCAGGTCTAGAAGGTTACCTTGAAAGACATAATCATAAGTCAAAATCGTTAAAATACCCAGAGGCAATGCAACGCAATACAACATATTCTAAATAGCTAGCCACATATTTTAACATAACAAGCATAAAACGCAGTTAACCATTAATAATGATGCATTTTTAGTCGGTTAAAATAATTAATAACGGACTTTGCATCTACAGATCCATAACATTACACAGTATTGACTTAAAATATGTTTTACTTTATTCAGTTTAAGGTCCTACACAAGACTTTTATCGATAATCATGTCGTCAGCATTTTGCCAAGCTCCAAGCGTAACCACAAAATTTTATAAATTCCTAAAAAAATACTTAAATTCCGCTTGCAATTATGTAATATAACCACAGGCAACAACGTAATTCAATATACTATAGTTAAAACTATTGTTTTAAACATATTTGCAACAAAAACTAAGTAAATAATCTTCATAAAATTCCAATGACAAAAATCGAATTTGCCTGTGTAACATGTAGTTATTTGGGTTATTTCTTCTTATCATGTCACAATTGCTTACCGCACATGCTACCATGATGATACAGAACACTATTTTGTTATTTATTTGCTAAAAATTGAATATTTTTTTACAAAAATCATCACCACGTCACAGCAAGCGGGCCGATATGGCCTCTTACTCGAAAAAAACTTGACACGTCGTTACTTTCGTACGCGTAATCCTAGGTCTATGGCTTTACCAGTTGAACTATAATATTGGTACAAGTAAATATTATGCATGTTATCGAGAATGTTTTACAGACTTATACTATAAGCGACATAGGTGTAAGCTGATTTTTTTACTAAAATTGATATAATTTTTAATAGACGGCACTCCGCTCTCTTTACAGCTACGACGCCATGTCAAGACAAGTAGGAAACGGAAGTGAACTGGACAGTATTATACAACTATTGCTATTATATTTTTAATGGTATTCTATTATTATTTCAATATTGTAAAGAAAGCTTGTTTTAATAAAAATATTCTTTAAAAAAATTATAGGTATTTTACTAAATACGATACCTACTTAAATAAAACTTCTTTTGTTTTTTTTTTAATTTTGTACTAATTTATAGTAGAATTATAATTCTGGTACTGATTAAGTAGACTTGGTACCAAATTTATTAGTTAAAGTTCCCATCACTATTTGCTTAATAGCAAGTGTCGTAACCTTGATTTTAACCAATTAGCGTGCATTTCATTGCCTCCCCCGTACCGATTACCTCAGACTTTTGACAGACAGGTTTGGATGCAGAAATACATACATTAGGCGACTATTCGGGCTGTGTAGTCGTTGTTCCACTATATACTTTTTATCAAAAGTGTGTAGTGGACGCATGATATCTGAGATCATGCATAAGACCGGTGATTCCTTAATTGAGTCGAGCATGGATCTCAATCTGTAGGAGAGCAAGCTCAGACCGCACTAGGCGTTAATTCTATACAAACTAGCCCTCGCCTCCTTGTCTAGATATAGATCAAGGGGCGTTAGGCATAGAAGTGCATTAAGAGCCGCTCCAGGCGATGATCGCATAGCTCCAGTTGCCATTAAGCAGGCAGTCCTTTGTAGACTATTTATTCTGTCCGCAGTCGTCTTTTAGTTGGCCTTGTTACACCAGACAATGGAGGCGTAGGTGAGAATCGGCTTCACTATGCTGCTGTACAGCCATAGGACCATACTGGGACGCATGCCCCAGTTGTTCCCGACCAAACGACTGCACGTACCTAAAGCAATTTTTGCCTTATGGCATACGTTGTTAAGGTAAGAGTTCCGCGTTAATTTTTGGTCGATTGTTACGCCCAAGTACTTAACTTCCGTGGAAAATGGTACTTCTTTACCATTAAGTTTTGGTGGGACTAATTTCCAACCTTTCTTTTTTGTAAAGGGTATTATAACAGTTTTATCAGCATTAACTGATAAACTGTTATCCCTACACCAATTATTTATGGTGTTTAGAGCTCTTTATATTATTGACGATAAGGTACCTTGGCAAAAGCCCCTCGCAATGTCACAAGGTCATCAGCATAACCCAATGTGTCAATGCGTAGGTCTTCTATTTTGTACAATAGTTGGTCAACCGCAAGATTCCAAAGAAGGGGTGACAAAACACCTCCTTGTAGGCAGCTTCTTATAGTTGCAACCTCAATCGAAGTTTGAAACAGCGCTGTTTTTGCCTTTCTATTTGAGAGCATGGACTTCACCCATCTGATGGTGGTGGGTTCAATATTTTTAGATGTCAGGCCCCCAATCAGCAGTGATGTGGGCCTACGGTCGAATGCGCCCTCAATATCTAGAAAGGCACAAAGAGGTATTTCTTTATTCTCCAATGTTTTTTCGACCCTGTCAATGACACTGATCAGGGCTGTTTCCGTAGATTTGTCTCTGCGGTAAGCATGCTGGTTGTAATGTATGGGCCGCGTAGCTAGAGCTACATCCCTTATATATCTATCTATAACCTTTTCCAATGTCTTAAGGAGAAAGGAAGATAGGCTTATAGGTCTAAAGTACTTTGGAAAAGCGTAGCGCCTTTCTACCAGCCTTAGGTATAAATAGAAACTTGACAATTGTCCATCGTTCTGGAATATATCCCTATGCAAAACTTGCTCTGAAGATTTTCACCAGATAAGGAAGAAGGATGTCGATACCCCTCTGTAGTTGGATGGGAATTATTCCATCCTCCCCGCTTGATTTAAATGGTTCAAAGGAGTCAACAGCCCACTGAACCAGGTTTGGCCTCATTATCTTTGCAGCCCTATGCCAGTCCTCATTGCAAGACCTTCGTACGGCTCTGAAAGTATTCAAGGCTGAAGTTTTGTGTGACCCTGGGAAATGGGTTGACGCTAGTACCACCAATGTTTCTGTTTCACTATTAGTGAAGTTATCATCTGACTTTTTAAGAAGCCCGATCTGATTAGGTTTAGCTTTCGATAGCATTTTGTGTAGTCTTGCACTGCGAGGCAAAGACTCAACTTCCTCGCATAGCTTCCTCCACGATGCTCTCTTGGCTTTTCTAATTTCTTTATTATATTTAGTTAGGACTGCACTAGAAATATCCCACTCTTTGGTTTTCTTAGCCCTATTAAATAGTTTCCTGGTCTTTTCCCTAAGTTCTTTTAGCTTAGAATTCCACTAAGGAACTTTTCGTGTTGAGGTCTTAGTTTTGACGGGACAACTGTCCTCGAAGGCTTCACGGATACCTACGGTTACTGTCTCCGTCGCTAACTCCAGCCTTCAATTGTTTTGATGCTTTTAGGAAACGTTTCAAATTCCTCCTTAGGCTATCTCTGTAGATATCCCAGGAGGTCGCTTTTGGAGCCCTAAAAGTAACGGTTTCATAGGTTGGTGATGCTCCAATCACAAACTTAATGTGCTTCTGATCAGATATCGAGTTTTCGCTACTAACATGCCAGACATTTATCCGCCTGTACATGTTATTGGTAGCAAAGGTTATGTCTAACACTTCTTGCCTAGCACGCGTTACTAAGGTTGGTGTAAAACCTAATTTTAGGCTTACCAGGCGGTTGGCAAAATCAAACCCCATTTCTGATAGTCAGCTTTATTGGTCAATTGACATATTTTACAAGAATTCTGTGATAAGTGAAGTTATGACTTTGAAAATATTTTAAAAAATTACTGAAAACATTCATATTACTGACACAAGAACAGGACTATCAAGAACGTCTCAGCACTATGACAAATTATGTAAAATAAGACTACTTGTTGACAAATTGAATGAGACTTTGGAGCAGCATGTACACCATCATTAATAAATCTATGGTAAAATTTAAGGGCAAGAGTTCCATGAACCAATATATGCCTAAAAAGGCTATAATAGGGGCTAAAATGCTAGGCAAGACACAACTCTAAAACTGGCTATCTCCACCAATTTCAGTTCTACACTGGAAAAATTGGAAATAATACAGGAGAAAATTTAGGACACAGAATTGTGCTAGACTTATCGGAAAATGTAACAAATAACACATTGCTAGTTTTTGATAACTTTTTCACAAATTTAGGATGGATGATAGCGTTATATGAAAAGAAAATATTTGCAGTTGATACTATCCGTAAAAACAGAGGTCTACTGAATTGGAAATAATACAGGAGAAAATTTAGGATACAGAGGTCTACCTGAAAAAATAACAAAAAAAAAAACAAAAGAAACCACTTTAAAAACTAGTGATTTATTTATCAATATGCTGAATCAATTTCAGTTTTGAAATAGAAAGATACGAAAGATGTTTTTGTTTGTACCACAACATTTGATTCTACTGATGTGTTGGTTATCAAAAAAAAAACTCAAAGATAGATCAAAGGATACACGTTTTGTCTTTTTTGCTGGTTTCCCGCTCAGATTGTAATTGTAAAACATGAATTTTCCGTTACTTCGTTATTTAGGTAAAATTATGGAAATGAATGTCTAAAGCCATAAGGGTTAAATAAAATTTATTATGATATCAACATTATCGTAAATTTAGAATTCATGGCAGTCTTATTACAATGTATAATATCTACAATTAAATTGTAACGTAAAATATCTCATATTTCGAGCACAATCTCATGTAATATCTATAGATTTTACTATTATTGCACGTTTTTCTGGATCATGTTGCTGTTCCAGGTTAAAATTTTCTTCGGTCGATGACAATTTATGCTTGTTAGTGACGGAAAATATATCTGCTGTTTTCTCTGAGATACTCGCTCTGAAAAATATTATCTTTAAATAGAAAAATAAAATTGTAAATACTAATTAATTTATTATAATACTATGAAATATTTTTTAGTAAAATATTATGTATTTGCATCAATATAAAAGACAAGATATGGCCGTGCGAACAAAAATTGTTCACGGTTTAAGCATAGAATAAATCAGCGCCATCTCTTAGTCATGAACTACCACGGAACCAGTGTTTCATTTATGATGTGGTTTTACCCAAGAACCTGTAGAATTACTCCCTAAATTATTGTAAAAAAATCAAAATAGCCTTATTTATTGCACCTAATTTTCAATATTTTTAAGAACAAAATCATTGCAAGATTTGAATAACATTTCACGATTTAAAATCTTGATTTTGTGATGAAGAAGACGTTCTCATTTTCAAATTATACTAACACTAAGTAATAATGAATAACGAATATGTAACTAAGTAATAAAAGGATACAGAAAGGCGCAAGAGGGACTCCTAAGATCGTCCATGTGGATCGCTTGGCGCGTTATTATGGGGCCGATAATGCTCGGGACAAGCATGTCTTAGGAGGGGGCAGTGTTGCGCGCCTTAGTTGACGTCATGTACCCGGCACTAGCGCCATATAGTGTCAGGGACGAGAGCGAGGGGAGCTTTCCAGAAAATGACATCACTAATCTTTCAATCGACAGCGCCATCTAGTATCGAAACGAAGAACTAAGCTTCTAGAAGTCGACACTCGAACTTTCGGCGCCTTTTCGATTGGTGCGCGTATTTACTTGAATGTTCTGGATGTTTCGGTGCTAATGTGTATATATAGGCGCTGCAAGATGCGATCGGGGCAGTATTGAATTTGGCGAGACAAGCGAAGCTTAGGAGCTGAATAAAGTGAATCAGTGTGATTAATTATTAGTGTTTTAAGTTTAATTAGTGTAAAGTGAATTAAAGAGTTAATTTTGGTAATTCCATCGGTAATTTTTATTGTCACGAACCTCAAGCTCGTAACAATATTATACCATTATACCGATATACAGAATGAAAAACTTTTTCATTCTACACTTTTCTAGCACTTTTAACTCTATCCCCTTCGAGGAATATTTAAAAAAATACATTGGGTGGGAATAATAAACAGGGTTACCTGAAGTTCGGTTTTACCCCAAATTAGCCAAAACCCTGTCAACTTGAAGAAACGCCTTAAGCTCTACCTATTATAGTAGATTTACCCTAAAATAGTGCAAAATATCTAAAAGTGGAAACACTGCATGGACGCACGGCACGCATTGGTGCTCAATAAACATTTTCGCACCAAGGAGTCGGTGCCATTTTGTTTGTTCATTGACCCGGTCCATACGCAGTAGTATAATAAGTCTATGCGTATTTGCGGTTTAATTAAGCGGAGTGTTTTAAAAAATCAAAAAGTTGTTACAGCAACATTAGCAATGAGAATTTTTTCGCTTCAATTCCGATAAAAAAGTTTGATCCAATTGATTTATAAATGAAACAAAGGACAACATTTTACACAACTCTAAATATTGACATTAAGCGTAAGCACCGGTTTCACCCGTATCCAATATATATTTTTTTAAACGTTACTCTAGGATTTTGCCCTACATCGTGTAAACAGATTGCGTATATAAATAATTATACAAGGACAAATATACAGATCCAGACCCGGGACATTATTGGTAGGTCATACAAATAACTTGTCCCATGCGACATTCGAACCCATGGCCCTCAGCGCATACGCCGCGCCACGAAGTCTTGGAATATTACTATATAGTTGATAGTTGATATGACTTAGGCTCATAAAAGTTATTCGTACATTTTAACGCGCACCATGGGGTCTGGCTCTAATCCTGACCTATCGGCGCTTGGAGGGGCGCAAATGTAGTAATAGTGTACCAGTGACAGTCAAGTCAGTGCATTTTTTACAAATACGGAAGATACTATAATTCCTCATCATTATAGTCCTGATCAAGTCTACTGCTGAACATCGACCTCCCCCAAGAAATGCCACAAAGCACAACAACAACTTCCAGCTCAGTGCTCCCATCAACTACCGGCATAGGTGTGACATGGACGTTACACATGACTTTTGTTTTGTCTATGTTCATCTTAAGACCTATCCGTTGGGAGACACTATTGAGGTAATTAAGCATAGTGCTTATGTCCTCCAGCGATTTTGCCATAAGAACTATATCGTCGGCAAATCGAAAGTGAGCTTTGAGGTATTAAACCTAAGGAGGTGGCATCGCAAGGCATATCCTTCTGTCAAAGGTACGAGAGTCCGACTCACACCCGTTATACATATAAAACTAGTTGCTCCGCGATGTCCGCCATTTCGCAAGTGATCGTGCCAGGCTATCGAGCTCCGGCAAAAATGCCAAATCTCAGTGTATTTTCATGCAAAAAACACTCCAAAATGTCAAATCTACAAAAGGACATCATGACTTTTCATCTGTAAATACTTTTAACATAATATTATCCTTAAAACTCGTGTTTTCTGAACATTTTCGAAAAACACCAAGTGTTGCCATCACAGTTTATGAAGTGAAAAATAAGCTGTTTGTAATAAATATAATTTACTACTTACACAAATTAAATATATGAACTAAAAATTATTTCCTATTAACTAATTCGGTTTGAGATGAATAATAATCATTACACTAAGATGTGTAGTGGATTTTGACAAATGATTTAAATATTGAGCTCAATTCAACACGATTCTGAATACATTATAATTTAATATAATTGATAACTATAGTCACCCAAATCTAAGAAATACCTTTTGATGTTTCACATTAATCATTCCGCAATAACTTTGCAAAAGCGTACTCACACGATTCAAAATAATGAAAAATGAAAATAAAAAAAATGTAAATCTGAAGAATTATGAAGTTCTATCTATACAACGTGGGGCTACACTGGCGACTTTAATTTAACACACATATACGTTTTCACACTTTCATTTCATGACGAAATTATATTTCCATTAAACGTTATTATTTACGGATTTATTTAAAATTTTAGAAAATAGCATGTTAGAGCAACCTGTACTTAAAGAACTGTCGCGCAGCGGTCATTTGCCGGGGTCAGGGATCATAACATTGCATCATCGAAATTAAAACGAATAAGCAATACTATTGAAGGAAAGAAGATTTGTCGGCGAGCGGTCGGCGCAAGAGACACCTGATCCTCCCCCGCACCCCGCCGCACTGATATCGAATTATTTTTATAGTACTAGCTAAACTCGTGTCCTTGACATCCTTGTTCATAGCAGTGCGCATAATTAGGTCGACTAATATTTTGGTGAATAATTCCGCGAAAAAGACGCTTACCTGTTGTTTTATTTATTAATTTTTGTGTAATTAGGTTATGGTATTGCGACAAAAACGCTTTGTTTTTTTTTTCAATCTAGTTGGTACATTTACATCTTTTGCGATACGGACGCTTTTATTTGTGTTATTAGTGCTTGTGTAAACCTGTGATCGTGATGGCAAATACACATCCGAACTACACAGCAGCTGAATATGCGGACATGATCCTAATTTACGGAGAAAATCAAAATTACGCCCTTGCGATTAGAACATATCGCGAGAGATATGGCGATACAAGACAATGCCCTACTCATTCTCGCACTATTGTAGGAGCTCTTCAGCACATCCGCGAAAACCGACCAGTGGATCCTAGGTATCAACGCCCTGATCGACCGCCTACACGACAATACCGAAACCATTTAACTGAAAATGTGATACAACACTTCGAAGACCAACCCAAAACTAGCCTTCGCCAGAGTGCTAGGCATTTTCAAGTCCATCACAGAACCGTCCATAGGATATTATAGCACGAAAAGTGGCACCCATTCAAGTTTAGAAAAGTAAACAACTCTGCTATCACGTGATAAAATAATAAGAGTTAATTATTGTCAGTGGTTACTGAGAAAAATTGAAGAGGACAGTGACTTTCTTTCCCAAATTTGTTGGACTGATGAAAGCACGTTCACCAGAAACGGCATGTGGAACCAGCACAATCTGCACCATTGGGCACCCAAAAACCAAAATCCGCGCGTTTGGCGGGAGTCAGCCCATCAGTACAGATTTTCGGTAAATGTTTGGGCAGCTATTCATGGTGACAACATCATCGGATCCGTATTCATTGTTGGGCCTTGGAACGGCGAAATGTTTGTTAATCTATTAAATAATACGGTGTCAGAATACACAAACACCCTAAACGTTCACCGATACCAACGAATGTGGTACCAATTAGATGGCGCGCCTGCACACTCTGTAACAACAGCCAGGCAGTGGCTAAATGACACGTTTGGTGCACAATGGATTGGTAGATTTGGACCTCGTAGGTGGCCAGCAAGATCGCCAGACCTCACGCCACTCGATTTTTTTCTGGGGGTGCACCAAAAAGGATGTATACGCGGAGAACGTGGATTCGGTGGAACAATTACGCCATCGAATAATAAATGCGTTTGAGAAATTGAGGGAAATGGCTATAAGTGACAATTTATTTGCAAATGTGCGAGAAAACATGAAACGACGTTTAGTGCTTTGTATCTGCCAACAAGGTGGTCTTATTGAAAACAAGATAATTTAAAATAAAGACAAATTAAAGTAGTGATTAGTGATGACAGTTAACAAATAGTAACACGAGAGTGTGATATGATACGTGTTTGACTAAGCATCTCCGCTGTAGGTACCACTTACGACGCGCGCCGCCACGCTAATAAGTTTCTTTGATAAACAAGACACTTTGCGCGGTTGCCAGCCCGCTAAACACTGCGTTGCCGCTTCGAGTTAACGTAAACCAGCTAGGTAAGTATTTTCATGAATGAATTTTCGCAAGGGTGATCCCAATTTTAGTTACTTTTTTAATATTTAGTTTGTTTGAAAAAAATAATTTTTCAATTTACGAGTAATTTTAACTTATCAAATGAATATGATTAATGGTCACTAGCCCTACACGTGTATTAAATTTAAGTCGCCATTGTAGCCATACGTTGTATAATATCATTACAACGTATATAGTTTTTTATCACTCATATACAAGGCCGCGCTAAAAAACCACTACGTAATTTCAATCTACCGCCATTTCGGAGGCTTACTTTGTGTAATTTTGTGATTTTATGTTTGTCTTCTTAATTTTGTGATTCGGCTTTAACTTTTTGGACTGTTTCTTCTATATTCGTTGAATCGTCATTATTTGTGAAATGGGCACATGCCCATTTCACAAATAATGATTGGGCAAAATTGGTAGAAAAAGCAAAAAAAAACTTTCAAAGAGACATAATTTTTACTGCATTATTGAAAATCAAATAATAATTAATCTAAACAACGACAACTCAACTATTTGTACTGAAAGTGATTGAATAAATATATTTTTAATCTAGTTTCAATCTTAAATTTTTATAACTTTGCCTCTAGAAATAGCAGTAACAACAAATACGAAGAAGCTGATAAGTCTTTTGTTTTGAATTATCCGTTTTTAATTTATTCTGGTATTATTCAAACCAAACTGTAAATGATTACCTACTCTAAATAATCGATATCGATTATTTTAAGAATCGAATATTCTACGTTCCCATTTCTTGGTTGGCATGCTTGGTGCAATAAATCAGACAGCTGTCAAAATGTATTTCTTAGATTTGGTTGACTATAGTATTTATCAAAATATTATACAAAATAAAGGCCAAATGAGTCGTTCCAATGCAACGGTGAAGATTTTCGGGGATATTTCGTCACCCTGTCTTACACCTCTCTGCAGTTTGATAGGTTTCGTACTCTCGTTCTGTACTCGAATATCCATAGTAGCCCTACTAAAGAAACACTTCAGCACTTCGATATACCAACAGTCAGCTTGGCACCGCCAAAAATTCGACGGAATCAAAGGCTTTCTCATAGTCCACATAGGCAAGACATAGTGGCGGAATATACTCTTCAGCCTTCTGTACAATTTGCCGAAAGGTATGTAATATATGGTCTATGATACTAAAGGATTTTCGGAAACCGGCTTGTTTGGGAGGCTAGAAGTCGTCAAGTCTGCGTGTGAGACGATTCGTAATGGCTTTCGAAAACAGCACGTAGATGCGACTCAGAGATATTCCTTCTTTAACAGTGTTGTCACCTTTCTTGAAGAACAAAATCATCTCACTTTTCTCTATGCCTACGGGATAGTGCCACTATGGAGGACGGAATTGAAAATGTTCTGAAGGACTTCATGTACTGGTACTTTTCCACTCGCTTCAAGAAGCTCCGTTGTAATTCCATTCTCATCAGGGGCCTTGCCGTTATTAAAATGGTGGAGAGCCAATCTCACTTAGTCTGACGCCCGGGATATCATCGCAATAGTATCGTACAAGACTTGCTCTTGGATCGTTACTCACACTTGCGTGTGGCTCCAGTGATTAAGTATACAGCTACCCGTAGAACCTGTTTATCTTACTCAAAGTGTCACTGAAGCAATGCTATCACATTAGGTCTTCAGCTTCGACAGTTGCCTCTTTCTGGTAAGCAGATCTCTGGCAAAGACTTTGGGCTATTGGTTCCGCTCAATAACTTCTACAATACCAGTTGTATTGAAGTTGCGGAAGTCCCACCGCATACATTTGTAGATCTGTCTGTTCAGTTGCCTTATGTCATATCCACTTAAGACTGTAGCTTCGTAAATTATAATGCCTGGGTAATTATAAAATCACTAAACTGGGTATTCTAAACAAGGTGAAGCGATAATTCACGCCTGGACAGCATGAGTATTGTAATCACCTTTGGGATGGTTCAGCAAAATATCAACTTGTTACACTCGACTCAGTGCTACGCAGAGCCAAGAGACTTATCGACGATAAGTCTTCTCTACAGATTGTACTTCGGACAGCGTGCCTATTAGCATCATAACCTCAGATCGAGGTAAAGAGTAAGCCCATTTTTAATTTAAAAAATAAATAAATTGCAATGGGTTTTTTAGCGATTAAAAAAATAACAACTATGTCCTACTTATAATGACTAATACTTGGAAGCTATTCTGGTTTTCCAGTTTAATTTTTTTTATAAAAAACTGTTAGACATTTCTAGTATATTACTAAGATTAGGGTGTCAACCTTCTCAAGAATGAGAAACCTGTGCTCAGCAGCGGGCCTTTATTAGACTGTATCTTTACTTTTAATAGATTAGACATTAAATGTAGTCAAATCATGTCGTTTATACCATGACATTTAAGAAAAAACCAGGAAATAAAACAGAATGACTGTGCATAACAAAAAATATTAGATATGAGGCCGATTGGTGGTGGTATATATCTTGCTACGGCGTATTGCACGTCTCATAACGCGAAGCGTTATTAGTTAGTACTTTACTCTCGACACTTCAAGGTCAAGCAATTTTTGATTCTTAAAATACCTCTATCATAACCATATTGCAGTTATATGATAATATGAGTAGCCGTATATCAAGAAAACTCTAATTAATCCATCCATCTCCATCTTATATTTTTTTTTATATTGCTACTTTGAAAACAAAAAGGTTTGATAAAATTTTTTGTGGACGTCCGGATGTTGATTTTGTATGTGGTCGCGATATCTCAAGTAAACAATGACCTATTGAAATGTATGAACTTCAATAATGTATATCAGACCGAGACCTGTTTCATATCAATAGCCTAGTACGAGTAGTTTGTAATAAAATGATTTTCAACTTTTATAAATTTTATTGCTATAAAAAATTTAAAGGCGCTTTCATTTTTTTAGCCCTTGATAAACAAAGGACAAATCACAAATGTACCTACTTAGAGCCTATATCGATTTTATACTTTGTGTAATCGATTTATTTTGGTAAACATTATTATTTTTTTCCCTGTAGGTGACACTACTTTTTTAAATAATAGAGCCCTAAATTTAAAACATGTAAATAATAAGTTTTAAAAGTCAGGTATTCAAATTATTTTGACAAGACAACGTCTAATAAATCGATGAACGCCGGCTGCATGCACGAAAAAGGATGACTCATTGTCCCGTTACGCTCCAGCCGAGCCGAGCACGATCGGAGGGAGAGCGCGGCACGAACGAGCGAAAGGAACGATCGGTTTGCAATATTTTGTTATGACGTTGTCACGTTCAACTATCGTCCGTAAACCGACTTTACAGACAACCAATTTTTTTCACTAAAATTAAATGAAACGCTCATGAGGCGTACACTTTTGGATTTTCCAAATATTTTCCAATCCCATGACATATTAATGATCGCAGTACCAGACATTAGCACCTTTGACGCTACAGTTCTTCAGATGGAAACGAGATGTTTATACCTATATCTATCAGAAACCATAAGATTTTCTAGTATTGCCCACAGTCGACTGTTACGACCCCCACGGGATGAATTGGGCTCGATTCTCTTCTTAAATTTATGAAAAAGAAAAGCAAAAATACCTTGACTCGTTGGACACACTTGTTGCAATTGAAATGGACCTGTGGCTTTCAAGATGTTTTTTAAGCAACTCAGGTGTTGACAATACTATACTGCATAAGCAGCACATATATGAAGATGGTTTAATGTCCATAGTAAGCTTTACGTCTTCTTGTGGCTCAAAGTGAAAATTTTTAATATGAATGAAATAAGCACTTTTTCCAATTATTTTTCTGTGACATATCGGACACACAAATGTAGAGATATCATATTTTTTAGAACAAGAATTGAAATGTGCACAATAAACTGAATAACTGCTGAATGAAACATTACAATACAGGCATGGCATGTTAATTTTTACGGATACAACTTTTGTTTCATGCGACACTTGTTTCAGGACTGTTGTATGAACTACCTTCATATGCTTTTGCAAATTCTGCATTGTTCTAAACTTTGCTGTGCATATTTCGCAACTGAAATTGACAAGTTGTTGTGGACTCGCTGGAATTTCCTGTATTGACTTGCGAGAGGATTTGCTACAATTTTGCAAATGTCGCTTTAGCATGATATTCAACTTGAATGTTTCGCTACATTTATTACATTTTAGATTGAGCTTTGTTTCTCTAACATCCGGCATATTTTTAGTGTTAGATGATGATTTCGTTACACCTAAACCAATACTTTTCGCTTTACTAATTTTATTGCTGCTGACAGAGGACTGTGCTTTCAAGTTGTTACTCCCATTTCTCTTGCTTATTCTTTTATGTTCCTGTTTTTGTAGAATTGTTTTTTGTTTTTGGCTGGCAAGCTTTTTCCTTGTGTTGGGAAGAACTGAAGATTTCTTATTTATTCTATTAGCACTAGATTCGGGAAGGCACACTTTTGATGATAGGGTAGGAGTGTTACTTTTTTCGGTATTGGTTTCAATTGAAAAAGTATTGTTATCATTTAAAGATTGATTTGATTTGTTGTCGCAGGAGTTATTCGTTTTAGTAACACTGCTCTGGATATTTGTTGTTGATGACGAACTGCAAGCTGTAACAATTAAAATAAAAGAATTAGAGAAAAAGAGCAAATTTAAACTTTTATTAGTCTCATTATCAATATGATGATAGCCTCTAATTTGTGATTTATGTTATTACGTACAATAGCTAATAATTCTAATAAATAAATAACATTAAGCTGTTATTTGTGGCAAATTTGCAAAATTTGTACCAAACGAACTAGAAATGATAACACGCAGGGTAACATGTACATAATACCTTAGATTATTATGCTACCACGGAGTCTAATTAAAAATTCAATGTATTTGCAGATTTACAATTTTGAAGTCTAAAATAAGTGAGAGCGTTGTTTGTTGTGAGGAAAAATTACACTTGACATAAATGCCTCAAAGAATTAAACTATTTCGATAGCCGACCGACTTAAAGCTCAAAACAGTGTTAGGCGCAGACATCTTCTCCCTGTTGAAGAGCGATGAAGACAAACTCCTAATCCTTGAAGTCTTCTGCAGTAGGTAGAGGGCATAGACGTACGACGGGCGGCGAATTCACATACTAACAACGAAGGCAAAATCAGCATATTTTTTTAATCATAAACATTTTTGAAGGAGTTACGGGGATATAACGACAGCGTTTTACACCTCTCTGCATTTGGATAGGTTTCGTACTTTGTTCTGTATGCGGATAGCCAACGTACAAACACTTCGACATACCGACGCTCTACTTGGCACTACTGAAGGAATTGTATCACCGCCCAAATTTCAACGGAATCACAGGTTTTCTCATAGTCAAACTGGCAAGGCAAAGTGACGGACTCTTCGGTCTTCTGTACAATTTGCTGAAGTGTATGTATGTGGTCTATGGTAATAAAGCATTTTCGGAAAACGGCTTATTCGGAAGGCCGGAAGTCTTGGAGTCTGCGTGCGAGACAATTCATAATGACTCTCGAAAACAGAGCGTAAACGCGGCTCCGAAGGTAGTTCTTCAACAGAGAGTTGTCACCTTTCTAGAAGAACAAAACCACCTCACTTTTACTCCACGCCTCCGGCATTGTACCACCATGGAGGACGGAAATGAAGAGCTTCTGAAGAACTTCAAGTACTGGTACTTTTTCCACTCGCTTTAAGAAGCACCGTTGTAATTTCACTCTCACCCGGGGCCTTGCCGTTATTAAAATGGTGGAGAGCAAATCTCGCTTAGTCCGACGCCCGGGATATCATCGCAATAGTATCGTACAAGACTTGCTCTTGGATCGTTACTCACACTTGCGTGTGGCTCCAATGATTATGTATACAGCTGCGCTTTAAGAAGCTCCGCTGTAATTCCATCCTTGCCTAGGGCCTTGCCGTTTTTAAGGTGCTGGAGAACCATTCTAATCTCGCTCAGACTGACGTCAGGTATATCATCGGAATAGTGTCGGATAAGTCTTGCTCTTAGATCGTAACTCATACTTTTGTGTTGCTCCAACGATGACGTGTACAAATGCCCTTAGGACCTCTCAATCTCACTCAAAATCTCATGTGTCCCATATTCGACCTTCAACTTCAACAGTTGACTCTTTCTGGCAGACGCTTTTTCAATACGAGCTGTATTAAAATTGCGTAAGTCTCGCCGCATGCATTTGGAGATCTGTCTGTTCCGTTATCTGTATGCTGTCAAACCTGTTGAAGACTGCAGCGTTGTTTACCGTCTAACAACTATGAGATTCAAAGTGTGATCAGAGTTTTTGGTTCTTCTGTGGCGGGTTTTGCAGAACTTAGCCCCAACTCATGGACAGTTTCCATGAGCTAGTCATTTATATCACCCACTGTGTAGCAATCTTCTACTAAGGATTACGCCCAATGACCTCAATAGTGTCTCCCAACGCATAGGTCTTAAAATAAAAATGGACAAAACGAAGATCATGTGTAACGTCCATGTCACACCTATACCGGTAGTGCTATGCTCTGAGTTGTCGACGAGTATATTTACCACAGAAATCTAAATAATAAGGCAATAGAAGTCGTAAAAGCGCGTGACCTTGTCGCCGCACATGTGACTCGTAGGCCACAAGCGCGCAAAGAGCGTTTGTTTCGGACGCAGAGACGTAAAAATGATGTTTTGAAGCATATCCAACCAACTGCGGAAATTCTTCCACAACTCGCAAATTTTCTAATGAAGGGATAAAACATTTCATAAATAAGTACTTAGTGGTTTAAATAATGTTGTTTTTAATGAAATATACTTAAATAAAATGATTTACCTCCAGTACTACGATTGTCTTCGAAACTGTAATTTTTTTTAAATATTAGTAATCCTTTTAATTAACATTACTAATATTCCCTTTAACCACTCCTGGTAAGCTGAAAATGCTTGTGTTAGGAGTGGTTCACGACAGTAGTCGAATGGTGGATTCGAACCCGCGACCTTTTAAGTTCGCGGTCCGCGCCCTGCCACTAGGCTACTGTCGCTTCAAATTGTTTTCACATTTCAAAATCCATTGATTCTTAAGCTAGTTCATGTCTACGAGTATAACAGCTAAAAGAAGCGATGGATTTATAGTATGGGCAATAAACAAAATTGTTGCGTACGTAAATTTCCTAGAACACGGCCGCAGGAGTCGAACGCGAGTCAGTTACGTGACACTACAACACGTACGAATTAACTTGAGACTCCGCTGGAATGCCCGCACCGCGCCCCGCGCTGGCCGTGAGCGCTCAGTACCGATAGCATTTTTGTTACGGATACGCGTCTCGACTCTAGTTCGATATTTTTGATAATTGTTTGTTGTTTGGTTTGGACTTTTGTTTGTATTTGTTATACTTGAACGTTATTTTATCTGTTTGTTGTTAATTGCGTTGTTTTATTGTATCCAAGATTGATTCACTTTCACCCTAAGGTTGCCTGGGAGAGATTGCTTTTTAGCAATAAGGTCGCCTGTTATGCTTTGTATTTTTATTGTGTACGAATCTGTAACACTTTTTATAGTGCAATAAAGTGTATAATAAATAAATTAATAATATTATAAATGAGAAAGTGTGTATGTTTATTTCTTTGTCCCTCCTTGACGCGTTAATTAAAAATAATATTATATATATTATAAAAAATAAATATTTAAAATGTATAAAAATGGCAACAGTATATCACTTATTACTTCACCCCTTGCCAGAACATTTTATTTTGTTTTTATTAATAATCTCATGCAAATCTCAAAAATTTCAAATAAAAAAATATTACGACGCATTATTTTGCACACCGTACATTGACAATTACGTCATCGGCCCAGGTCTCAAGTTAATTCGTACGAGTTATACTATTTTATATCGACAATTTATTACGTTTTTTTACTAAGAATATTGATTTTTCGGTAAATATTTATTTACACCTTCTCTATTTTTTTTCTTTCTAAATATTTTATACCGTTAGCCGTTTATCAGCGATTATCTGTTTGTTTGTACTTTTAAATGAATTGATTAATTTTTATGCAATTTTAATATATTATAAGGATAAGTAATTATAATGTAAGGTATAGTAGACTAAATTCTATCTGTAAGAAGCCGGGTAACAGAAAAATAATAAACAACAGAAAGTCAGTTACAGATCTTTAAAACTAATAAAAAATTATAAATATATCACCCATACATTTATAATTTATTTATTTGCTGTTTGTATATTTTATTTATAAATCTCTTTATTTAATAAAATGCTATTATTCCTGGTTTTCAAAAGATCTGGATATTAAAGATAAATGGATATACTTATCCTTAACGTTTTATTATATCCCCTTTTCCCTAATTATAAAACGTCTAAAAGCTAAAGCTAAGACTAAAAGCGTCTATTACTGAGACGTTTTCAATTAATTAGTTATATCTTGGTGTGAGACTCCTGGACGATCAACGACGCTCAATAGAAAGTCATCGAAACGTGCATTGCGCTGCACTATTCCCAAGTGAGAGTGATCGCGCAATGTCATTCTCTGTTTTTTGCACACGTTAATTATTGGACTGAGTGGCTACGCCTCCTGAGATTTTGCGTTTTTACAAAATATTAATTAACGAAAATAGTTTATAGCATAATCTTTGTTGCATGAATGCTAGAATGTGTAGTCGTAATTGTGTATTTATTGTTTGTCTATGTGTGAGAACTGCGAACCGGCGACACGCATCCTGATATTAAAAGACAGTAGAAGCCATTTCTAGTGTTTATTATTTAGATTTCTGTGATATTTACCTAGGACAAATAGTCCGTTTAGGTAACTCCAAATTCAACCAAGAGGTCAATCGACAGATTCAACTCGGCTGGACAGCGTTGGGGAGATTACGAAACAGCTCATCCAGTATAGCTCAAAACGTGAAAACAAGATTATACAACCAGTGTGTTCCCAGTGATTATATATGAGATATGATCCTTCACTGCTTGCTCGGCTATGTTCAAGGTTTCTCTCCATGATAAATTTAGAAATGAGGATATGCGCAATAGAACCATGGTTGGACAGGTTACTTAACAACTGCATACGATTCATCTTTGGTCTGCGCAAATACGATCACGTATCAGAATTTCGCTCCCAATTAAAGTGGTTGACTATACGCCAGCGCAGAGATTTTCGAATGCTGTCCTCTCTGTTTTCAGTTCTTAATGATTCTTCCTCACCCCTTTACCTAAAAGAAAGATTCCAATTCCGTAGTGACACTCATTCTCTCAATCTCCGGTCTTCAGACAATTTATTACTGTCTACTCCTCTCCACCATTCTGGGTTTATGTCAAATTCTTTCACATTAACTTCCATCTCCCTCTGGAACAAATTGCCTGTTGACCTGCGCATAATACCTGCTAAAAACGTGTTTAAAAGAAAACTATACGAATATATCCGTAACCAACAAATTTGAGTCCACTTACTTTATATGTTTATAGTTATTTGTATATAAATTTATGGAGATATATAATTTATATATGTATATGTGTATGTATATATGTTATATATATATGTATATACATATGTATGTGTGTGTAAGTATAATGTATATAATATATATGTGTATATATATATATTATATG